ATGGCCTGAACGACAACAAAAGGCAAAAATCGTTTGGCACGGAACGTGTTAACTTCATCACTGTGACACATACTTTTTGCCAGCCGCATCTTCCAGCTTCTCCTCATTCTTAGTCTGGCTGTTGCCGTTAGGATTGGACCCGGCGCTCGTCATATCCATAGAATGGTAAATTAAAGGCTCCTCGTATGCCGAATCGAGAGAATCCCAGAAGGCTTTGTCCAGGTATTCGCGTTTCTCGCGCGTTGCCGGCCGTACGCTGCCCTCGCGTCTCGACTGATCAATGGAACTCGCGCCTTTGTGCTTCCTTCTGCGCTTCTTGCGCTTCTTTCTTCGAGTCTTATTATAGTTGGCACGCTTGTCCACGCTTCTTGTCACCCTCTCCCCTCGGCGAGGAACGCCAATGCCGTCTGAAACGCACAAAAGGATCTTGAAATTCAGTAAATGGCAAAATCGGGGACCAAGGGCTTGAAAGTTATCCCGAATGGTTTACTTTCTTGGAAAAGTTGCTGGCTCATTAAAGGCGAAAAACTATCCGGCCTGGTCGAGTAGCTCGCGTTATTCGCGTTGCTCCTTCCTATTTGATACTGAAGAATGCCCCCGCTTTTCCCTTTGGCCGCGACACTTCCCGTTCTCCCTTTCTTTTCGCCTTCCTTTCTCGCTTCGATGTACTCCAGCAGCAAATCCAGTTGCCTCGCCTGAGAGAACAAGGGAAGCGAAACAGACTGATTGCGAGAGAATTTCTAGCAGGATGAATATGGACACCAACTATCAAAGTGGCCAATTTTTTAATTTCTGTAGGCGTAAAATGTATAAACTCCATTGTGCTGTAAAGTTTCTCTGTTTTTTGAACTTCGGTGTTTGATTTTCACTGATTCATGAAATAATCCCAGAATTTTTATTTCGTAGTTTCGTACTCGTAGCGTAGAATTTTGATTCGTAGTTGTTTTTTTTTTTTCTTTTGTTTTTCTATTCAGTCTTCCTTCAGTCACTTTGCGTTATTAAATTCTACTAAGTTTATATCGTAGTTACGCTGAGGAATTTCGAGAATGCGATCAATATTTTTTTCGTTACCGTGTCTTCCTTTATTTGGTCCACGATTTTATGAAATTTCGAGAATCCGAAGTATTTTATAACGTTACATCTTTCCTAACATTCTTCCGTGCCTCTTTCTCCTGTGTTTTTACTTCTATTACTTGGATTATTGCTTAATATCGCTTTCTCGTTTCAACGAGTTCAAAGGATTTTAAGTCAAAATACAGGAAATCACAACGATCAGCCGTGAACGAACCAAAAAACGCAGAGTACAGTTAAGAATCTAACCAGATACTCCTGCATTGATTCAATCTTCGCTTTGTCCTTGTCCGTTAGAGCGCTGTATTCCTTTATCAGACTTTTTATCAACCCGATCTTCGCATACAGTTCATCAATCTCGGCATCGACTCTGTCGTTGGGGGAACTTTGAAAGAGAAACTTGTCCCGGAGAAAATGATCTTGATCTTCTTCGTGCACTAATGGCAACGCCGGTGACTATAACAAAATTTAATACTAGAAAACTATCGAAATGATCGAAATTACCAATTGATAGTTTTTGTTAGACATTTTGCGTTTTGTTAGAAACGTGAAACAGCGTATTTCTAGAGATTTAAATAATTTTTCGTAAAATATACAAATAAAAGCTTGCGTAATCTCTCCATTTCGTATAATAAAATTTTTCTGTTTTTTTTTTGACTTCGAAGATGGAAATTTTACGCTTTAATCGTCGTTTAGTTCTAGCGTCAAATAACGCGCAAAATCACGTAACCTCTAGCGAACGATTTGTTACTTGTTCCAATGAATTCGCTTGTTGCGTATCCACTTGCAACATCCAGTCCAAGAACTCGATCAGATCCGATGGCAGAGAGATACAGGTCTTCCTCTGCACCTCGTCGAAGATCAGTCGATTCAGAAGCAGCATTATTCTATCGAGCAGCTCTTTCGTGTTCTTAATCTGTTGAAGGCGGAACGTGTACGAAGCGTGTACGCTTTCCGCGAAGCTTTCGAAGCGAGAGAGAAGAAGAAAGAAATTATGAACCTACTTCGTCGTCGTTGAGTGTCTCGCGATAAGATTTCTCAGCTGCCGCGGTGTCTCTGGTCTTGTGTTTCTGGTAGAGACCCGGTCCTAACGACACCTTCAGCTCCTCGTTCTTCTGCACCTGATCGAAAATCTGTTGCACGATCTTGCCAGCGAGCTCGCCGTGAAGAGCAGAGTCCATCTGCGACTCGTCCTCCATGTCATCGGTTGTTATCAGAAGCGTAGTGAACTTCTCTCTCTCGCTGTCGTTGTCCGAGTTCGTCGTCTACAATATTACCGAATTTCGGTGAAGCTTCTTTGAAATCAAGTTGCACGTTATATATTTCTTCACGCTCTCTCAAGTTTTATCAAACTGCTTAAAGCTGATTTACTCACGTCCTCTCCTTCTACGTCGTCACAATCCTCTCCTTCCTCGCTGCGATTTCTCCCTCCGTTCTGCGTAACTTTGCTCTTTTCAACGTTGCGACGACTCCCGCTCTTCGACGCGCTTTTCTCACGCTTCTGATTCTTACGATCTTTCGTCTTTGAATCGTTCGAGTGCTTCTTGCGATGCCCCTGCCGTTTCCCGTGATTCTCACTCGATTTACCAACACGATCCTTTTTCTTCCTCTTCTTCGACAGTTTCTTACGATGCTTCTTCCCGATACGGGGCTCCTTGCTCTTTAAATCTACGTCCTCGTAATCATCGTCGTAATCGTACCGTTCAAGATTTTCCTCGCTCGACAGCCCCTGACCATTCTCCCCGTCCACATCCTCGTACGAGTTGAAAAACTCAAGATCGTCCTCGTCGTCGTCCGTCTCCTCGTAATCGCGACTGTATCGATCCTCGTCCTCGTAATACGTGTCGTAAGGTGACACAATTTCTCTTTTGTACCTGCTGTCGCCTTCGGACAGTCGAGTATCTAACGACGAGCGGGAATATGTAACGAGAAGAGCAGGCGAATCTTCAGTCTTCAAACTCGTCCCATTTTCCATTTTCCGTAGCCTATCGATGGAACCATTAACCGAACTTCTTTCGTGTTTCGTGGCGCTGGATCCGGGACGAGCGACGAGCGCGTCGGTATCGACGGTTTTCAAGCCTCTGGCCAGCCTGACTCTCGCGTCTTTGTCGAAATCGTCGAACCATTGAACCGGCTCGACAAAAGATTCGTGCAGGTCCCTCGAGCTAACGATCGTCTGTTTCTCGCGATCTATATTTTGGACGCGTTCCCGCTCCGGCGACTGCGGCAACGCCGGATATTTACGATCCCCGTAAGGAGAACGCTGAGAATCTGTGTCAATATATTGCCCCCGGTCCGTTAATGACCAGCTCACGGCGTCTCTCCCTTTGGCCCCCTCGTTTCTCACCCCGCTCACCTGCGATTCAAGGTTTATAGAGCGAAAGAAAGTAAGTCGAGGCAATAATTTATTGGAAACGCCTGG